CCTTTGAGGAAAAAGCAGGCAGCCATGTATGTCCTCCCACACCAGTTACAGCAATGTGTCTGGGCAATTACCCTTCCTAAGACCTAAGGCCCTCCTCACCTGACAAGTTTCAGGGCATCATCTGGTCCTCTAAGGGCCAAGAAACCTCCCCAACAGTCAAACATCAGTTACTCACATTACACCACCCCATACTTAGGCAAAACACATACTAGGTCTTTTCATGTTCTGGAGGCAACACACCCCTCATCTCTAAGTCTTTGCCCCATATGTGCAATCACATGCATGATCCTGCCACCTTCTGTTGGGATGAGGGCCAACAGTGGGCTTCAGAAGCAGTTCAGCAGACAGTCCAACAAACCTTACCTTTGATGCCCTCTGACCCTGCTTTCCAAGTCAAGAGCTTGGCCACATCTGACTATGGCTCCTGTTAGTGTCTGGACCAAACAGGAGTTAACCTGGCTTCTTACAGACTTTTAGATTAAGCACCTACCCACAGTGTCCTTCCCTGGCGGCTTACACAGTAAAGGATCTGTCTGAAATGTGGGAGGCATGGGTTCGATCCCTGGGTTGGGAAGATTCCCTGGAGAAGCACCTGCCCACAGTAGCAGCTCCAAAATCCCCACCTTCAATGCAGTTGTGGGCATCCTCTTGGGCTCTTACAGAAACTGAGGCCCTAACTAGCCTCCACCCCACTACTCCAAATCCACGCTCTGATAAAGTCCTGGGTGAGAGACGCCTCCCAGGGGAAGTCCGGCTTGGCTCCCAGTGCCTCTTTGGTAAAATGGAAACGTACCTTCAGGATAGGGCCACGCCTGATGTCAAAGGCCTTTCCAGATCACAGGAAGATGTGACTTCCCCCGTGCTCAGCCCGTTGCCTGGGAGACTTGAAGTAACGGTGCCCCCTCTCCCCCACTGTGGCTACTTGGGGAGCCCCTTGGGAACAAATGTCTGGGATGGATGGGGAGTCTGTGCTCTTCACAGGTGGCATTATTCCAATGCAGCTGGAGGACGTGGCTCCACCCACCTCTCCTCGGGCACCTCCCTGGAGGAGGGGAGGGGCTCTCCCGCTCAGCCCAGGTGATGGAACTCGTGACTATGCACCCAGCCCTCAAGGAGGCCACACCATGGGACCTTCTGCAGAGCCACACGGTCAGACTCTTGGGTGGTCACTAATGACCTTGTGGTTTGGTCTGACCATGGGCTGAGGGGCAATTTTCTCACAGGAGGCAAGCCCACCTGTGAGACCCAGACACAGAAGGGATTAACTGAGTCCCCAGTTTCTATCATTTCTACCCACATTTCTGCTTACACTAACTGCACCTCATCAGAAGCCATTGTCAACAATCCAGGAGACCCTCTCATAAGCCCTCCATATTCAGTCCAATACAGGGCTCAGGGTACCTACCATTCCACCAACTTGACAAATAGGCTGCACAACCTCAGGTCACCAGGGAGTTGAGCCTCAATGACCTGACCACAAAGGGGCAGGACTCCCCCCTCTAGCAGCAGCCAAGGTTGCAACAAACAAAGCGCCTTCTCTGCTCCCAAACCAAGCACCAGAGACCATCGGATGCGGGACACACTCCTAGAGAGACCACCACACGCCTGCGGGCAGAATGGCTTCCTTGGCCCACTGCCCGTTTCTGCTGGGGCTTCCAGATGCTCAGCCCCTTGCCTGGGAGACTTGAGGAAGTAACGGTGCCCCCTCTCCCCCACTGTGGCTACTTGGGGAGCCCCTTGGGAACAAATGTCTGGGATGGATGGGGAGTCTGTGCTCTTCACAGGTGGCATTATTCCAATGCAGCTGGAGGACGTGGCTCCACCCACCTCTCCTCGGGCACCTCCCTGGAGGAGGGGAGGGGCTCTCCCGCTCAGCCCAGGTGATGGAACTCGTGACTATGCACCCAGCCCTCAAGGAGGCCACACCATGGGACCTTCTGCAGAGCCACACGGTCAGACTCTTGGGTGGTCACTAATGACCTTGTGGTTTGGTCTGACCATGGGCTGAGGGGCAATTTTCTCACAGGAGGCAAGCCCACCTGTGAGACCCAGACACAGAAGGGATTAACTGAGTCCCCAGTTTCTATCATTTCTACCCACATTTCTGCTTACACTAACTGCACCTCATCAGAAGCCATTGTCAACAATCCAGGAGACCCTCTCATAAGCCCTCCATATTCAGTCCAATACAGGGCTCAGGGTACCTACCATTCCACCAACTTGACAAATAGGCTGCACAACCTCAGGTCACCAGGGAGTTGAGCCTCAATGACCTGACCACAAAGGGGCAGGACTCCCCCCTCTAGCAGCAGCCAAGGTTGCAACAAACAAAGCGCCTTCTCTGCTCCCAAACCAAGCACCAGAGACCATCGGATGCGGGACACACTCCTAGAGAGACCACCACACGCCTGCGGGCAGAATGGCTTCCTTGGCCCACTGCCCGTTTCTGCTGGGGCTTCCAGAAAGGGTGTTCCAATCACCAATGCTTACCAGGGCCTCCCCCTGGCAACCCCCACCCAGAACTCCTCTACTAAATAGGTTCTCTCTTTCTTCTTTATGCCTGTTCGCTTTGGATGGACAGACATCACAGACTCTGACCAGGAGACCTCCCAGGAGAGGTCTCTGCAGAGTGGCCTCTGCAATCTAACACTCTTTGGATCTTCCATCCATGTTAGGCCTGCAGGCAGCTGGCCTCATGGAGCGTCTCAACGACCTTCTTAAAGACACACTCAGGGTCTTCCCTGGTGGAAGACTGGGTAAGAATCTGCCTGCCAATGCAGGGGACACAGGTTTGATCCTTGGACCAGGAGGATCCCACATACCATGGAGAAACTAAGCCCATGTGCCACAACTACTGACCCCGCGCTCCAGAGACTGAGAACCACCCGGGAGCCTGTGCTCCGCAATGAGAAGCCCCGCACTGCAACAAGCAGCAGCTCCGACCCGCCACAACTAGAGACAGCCTGTGCGCAGCCACGAAGACCCAGCATGGCCAAATTTAAAATAAATTAAATAAATGCAATTATATATAGAGATATATAAAGAATCTGCCTGTCAATGCAGGAGATGCAAGAGACAAGGGTTTGCTCCCTGGGTGGGGAAGATCCCCTGGAGAAGGAAGTGGCAACCCACTCCAGTATTCTTGCCTGGAGAATCCCATGGCCAGAGGAGCCTGGTGGGCTACAGTACATGGAGTTGCAGAGTCAGACATGACTGAGTGACTAAGCAACAACACATCAAAAATATATATTAAAAAAAAGAGACACTCAAATTACTTTCAGGCACGTGGTCCCCAAAAGGGAGCAAACTCTTGTCCTGGCATTTCTACCCAATAGCATCACTATTGATAGGCTGAGGCCAGCACAAAACACATCTGTTTTTTATAAACAGTTTTATTGGGACTTGGCCACACCCATTTTAAGTATCTGACACACCTGTGGCTGATTTCCTTGCAGAGCGGAGTAGCTGTAATGCAGAACACCTGGCTTGAAAAGCCTCAATTATTTGCTATCCAGGCCTTTAAAGAAAAGGTTTGACAACCCTGCTCTACTGTGTGGCGTCTGGGTTGCAGGAGGGCAAGAGGGGGAGGCAGTATGGTTGGGAGGCTAGAAATAAAGAGATGCTGCATGTATTCAACACAAAGTTTGGAAAAAACATAGAGAATAGGCTGTTGGGTAGGAGAGGAGAAAATGCTGACTCTGCCTTGACTGAGCCAGCCTGGGGCCATTTACTGAGATTGGGTGCACTGGGCAGAGAAGAGTTACATATAAAACAACTGAAGATTTAAATTTCGAACAAGTTTAATTCTGAGATGTCAATGTGACCTCATCAGGATGGAGAATTGAGAGCTAGGAAACAGATGCTGTTTAGTCCTGGAGAGCAAACATGAGGGACAGCAGAAAGGGAAAAGGAAGGTCATGAAAAGTCTGGGGGAGAAAAGTAAGAAAGAAGAAGGATACTGTGAAGCGCTGAGCTGGAGATGCCAACAAGCCAGGGTTTCCAAAAAGCCACACTGGTGGTCTGGCCACACAGATGCAAGTTAGGGGGGGACTGCCTCCCAACGCTTGGGAGGTCTGGGTGGATACCAGAACTGACATGCATCCTCAGATGCCTGACAAGACAGGTGTTGACCCCACAGCCTGCTGGAGTGAGGCAGAGATGGCTTCCAGCCAACCTTCCTCTAAGAAGTCAGGCTGAATCCTAACCGCTTGCATTTACCACATGGAGAGAAAAGCAGGGCCAAAGGTTCCCCACCTCCCCACCCCTGTGCCCTAATCTCCCTGGGCCAGCTGACCAGAGAATAAGATGCAAGAGAAAAGTCACTTAGGCCCAACTCTTTTTTCCCTTTAAAAAATAGCAGTATCAAAGCTCAATAAAACTTTTGAAAAAATAATTTAAAAAGGAAAAAAAAAGCATTATTGATATAATGGTGGACTTAAAACGAACAGACTGTCAGTTCCTTATCCAGCAAAGATGGGTTTCTTCCGGATCAGAACATAATTGCAATCCCCGATTTACAACCATGGCAAGACACGAGCAAATCCAGCCCACAGCGCGGGAAGAAGTAGGCTTCTACAGGGAGGCCGGGAGCAAACAAAGAGCCCTCGGCTTCTCATTGGCTGAGTCCTTGCCTTCAAAGGAGTCTTTTTCCTGTTGGGCTCGCTATCAGCATGGGATGTGAGAGCGCCCCCTTCTGCTCTTCCAACTCAGTTTGAGATTTCTCAAATCTGTTGATTTTTTTTTTTTAACCATATACCCATTTTAAGTATATAGTCCTGACAAATGAACACACTCCTGTAGACAACACCATAATCGAAATATAGACCATTTCCATTGCCCCTAAAAGCTTCCTCAGCCCTTTTGTAGTAAATCCCTCCCCACAGCTCAGCCCCAAGCAACCACTGATATGCTTTCCATCATTGTAGATTAGTTTTGCTTGTTCCAGTGTTTCACATAAATGAAACCTGTTTGGATTCTTTCAGCAGAATGAATGACCTGTATCAGTAGTTTATTCCTCTTTATTGTGGTTAGTATTTCATTACTATAAATATTGGTCTGATACAGCAGAATTTTTTTCTCTATGACCTGATGATGAACACTTCAGTTACTTCAACTTTTTCGCTGTTGCGAAAAGAGCCTAGTTTCTTCTCTTCATCTCAGAAGGTAAATCCCTTCTATGCCTGCAGGTAGGAGAGAGGAGAGACTGGAGTGGAGGTTGACTCCAGTGTTGGCCTCATGTTAGGATGCATCAGATCACCTAGAGTGCTGTGAAAACACAGATGCTGGTCTCCACCCCCAGAACTGAGTCAGTGGATCTGGGTCGGGTCCAGGAGTTGCCTTGCTCTCCAGTAGTGCTGATGCTGCTGTTCTGGGGACCATACTTGGAGAACCACTGATCTTGTGGGGTCTCCTGAAAAAAAAAAAAAACAGGACGGGGAGGGGAAGTGACCTATCCTGTGGTGCTGTACTCATCACAAGGCTCATTTATACACAGCCCTGATCACTCTCAGACACACATAAGCTTAGGGATGGTTTGTCTTACAGCTTTATTGAGGTATAACTTACATTCCACAGATTCACTTAGGTATACAATTCAGTGATTTTTAGTAAATTTATCAAGTTGTGCCATTGTCAGCACTGGTCCAGATTTAGAACATTTACATCAATCTAGAAAAATCCCTCCTGCCAATTTACAGTAATCCCTGTTTCCATTCCCAGACAACCTACTTTGTCTTTATAGACTTGCTTTTTTGGACATTTGAGATAAATGGAATCTTGCAGTATGTGGTCTTTTGTGTCTGGCTTTTTAATTTAACATAATGCTACCCTTGGTCCTCTATGTTGCAGTAGGTATTAGTACTTTTAAAAACTACTACATAGTATCTTATTTAATTTATATGGATTCATTGTTTAATTGCATGGATAGACCACATTGTCTTTATGCATTCGTTAGTTCCGGGATATCTGGGTTGTTGTTTGGCTATTATGATGAATGCTCCTTTGAATATTTGTATACAAGTCTTTGCATAGACATATTTTTCCATTTCTTTTTCAGTACATACCAGGAATGGAATGTCTGGGTCATAAGGTAAATTTATATTTAACATGTTAAGAAACGGCCAAACTGTTTTTCAAAGTACCATTTTATAATCCCACCAATGATGCAGAGTCCATTTCCCCTAGGTATGTAATCATTGTTTTTTACTGGGACAAATACAAGATAATTTGAGATCAACCTGTACGAAGAAATGTATTCAAAACACTGTTCATTAAATACTTTAAATGCACATACAAGCGTGTAGAAACATGTTTCTTGTGGCTGATTTCAGTCTTGTCTGTACATTAGAAGCATCTGGGGAGCTTTGAAAAATTCTGATGCCAGGCCATGTCTCACAATGGAGTGAGTGGGCAGGCATGAGGACTTTCAATGCTCCCCAGGTGAGTCCAATGTGCAGGCTGAGTTTGCTCCTACTCAAGCACACAAACACAGGCACAAAGTTTGTTGATTAAAAAAAACTTTGTTGAGTCATTCACTGAGATAATAGCTAAATAGATACAGCTGAAGCAAAACTGTCTCCAGAACACATTGAGTGAGGCTGGAGAGGCTTGATGGCTACAGAAATAAAAAGGAATATACTGTCTGGTTAGACAAGTCAGGAATCTAAGCACCATCTTGGATCTCTCCCTTTCCATCATTCTCCCATATCTGATCTATCACTCCCATTAACTTCCTTCCTAAATATCTTTAGAATCCACCCACTTCTCTCCATCTCCAGTGATATGATCTGGATCCAACCTCTATCATCTCTTATCTAAACAACTTTGAAGCTTCCAAGTGGCTTCTTATCAACCTTCCTGGCTCCTTTCCAGCCCATTCTCGACACTGAATCCTAAGAATGCCACCTCATTCACAAACAGACCTGGTCATATAACCCTCTTCTTTAACCTTTTTAATTACTCCCCACTTTCCACTGCACCTTGGCTAAATACAAAAACCTATCCTTTGGTGCTCAGGGCCCAAGTATGCTCTGGCCCGGGCATCTGCTCACGACACAAGGGCCTCTCCTGGGCAGCGGCTTTGTCCTGCCTTCTCCTCCTAGGTCCTACTGACCCTCAGCTCCCAGCTTCTCAGGGAAGCCTCCCGACCACCCTGCAGCTCAGTCTCCTCCATCACTTGCTCTCATGGACCCCGTGCCTTCCCCTTGCAGCATTTATACCTCAGTTTGCTTCTTTAATAGAAATACTCTGGGAGTATTCTTTCCCTCTTCTGCTTTTTCTAAAGCGAACAACAAAAACTGTCTGTGCTTAAACTGTGCTTACTGTGTTAACCAGCCACAAAATATCAAACCACTTGTGGCAGCCAAAATGGCATGAAGGGCAGAAAGGGGAGGGACCATTTTAGGATCCTGCCCCTCCTTCGCAACCACCAGCTTGCAGGTGAGGTGTGTCTGGAGGGAGACAGGAGGCCGACTCCTAATCCTTTCGCTCTGCTGATGGGCCAGCAGCCACCCGGCCACCATACCAGGAAGGAGATACTGATGAGGCTCATGGTGACACAGACGCGCTCCCTGGACGTTGTGAACTCCTCAGAGAAAGCTGCCAGCTCCGTTTCTCCCAGTTACAGCAGGCAATCATTTTCTGCATGATCAGATCCAGTCTGATTATCAGAGGTCGTTGGCACTATTTCTCCAGAGGCTGTTTTCCCGGTTTTTTGTTTTGTTTCACATTGAATAAGGTTCGGGAGCCCTCTGGTGGCAACTTGTAGAAAATCTCATGAGCAGGAGAGAGATGCTTAGTTGGGGTGAGAAGTCTCAGTTCTTCACATTTCTTTCCTTTGCCTCCACAAGCTATTTCCAATTATTTTATCAGACATTAAAAGTAAACCAGGTTACACTGGGTTATATCAATTATCTAATGTCTTATCCAGCTTGTGAAGTCAATTTATAAACGTAGATGTTAAAGAACTGAACGATAAAAAAAGGCTTGCTGAAATTACTTAAATTACAAAAGTAAAAATTAATCATTATACTTTAAATTACAGAAATACCAATTACATTTTTTTTAGAATTTTCACATCTTAGGTCTTCAATAAAATTTAAATTTACAAAAAAAAAAAAAAAAAAAAAAAAAAAANAGAGAGAGAGAGAGAGAGAAGCAAAGCAGGGCCGTTATAAACCATCTGAACAAGAAGGCATCAGCAAACCAATGCTTTTTGTGGTCAGGCTTACAACTGGCCAGGCTGTGTTGCTAAACAGACCTGTGACTGATGATGTGGTCCGAGGATGTAGACTGTGAATCTGGCCCATGGTATAGACTGGAGACTCTGACTTGCTCAAAAGTAAATGTTTTCCATGGTAGAAGGACTAAGGTCTACATAGGGTCTATTAGCATCGTTCAGTTGATGCACTTATCACATTGGTATCCAAGTAACTGTGTAGGGAGGGGGAGCTCTGTGCCAGCACAAGGTCTTATGGGTAGAAAGCTGGGACCAAGGGCAGATGGAGGAACAAGCCAGGTCTTGGCTATTTGCAGAGCTGGACAGGTATGAGTCTCAAGAAGAATTGGGCTGCTGAGAAGGGGGTGGATGACACATCCGTCAATGCTACTTGTCCATACTCAAGCTGTTTCATCAAGCAGGAGAAGTTAAGGAATCCAGTTGCCATGGCTGGAGATGGCAGAGGTCCAGGTGGGCAGAAGAAAGGATGACAACGGGGAACAGGCTCGTGGTGATCGGGCTTCAGGAAAGGAAGCAGCATCTAACTTCTCAGGCTGTTTCTCCAAAGGCTGGTTAATATCTATTCCTGCTTTGCATTACAATGTTTGATATGCCCCTCTTTTATTAGCTCTTTTTCATATTGTTTAGCTTTTCATTTAACTTTTTCTCTGCCTTTTAAAAGCAAAAATCAAACTCTGCATTATATTTTAAAACATTAAGGGGAATTCCCTGTTGGTCCAGTGGTTAGGACTCTGAGTTTCCACTGCCGGGGGCCAAGGTTTGATCCCCGGGCAGGGAACTAAGATCCTTCAGGCAATGTGATGCAGCCAATAAATAAAATAAAATAAAACATTAGGAACTCTAGGTTTGAAGAAGTTAAGAATCACAAAGAGATCATGACTCTTTAATAGTTACTTTTTTGATGGAAATCCAGTCACATCTGCCTATACTCTTACACATACCATTACTCGGACATTCATATTCCACTAGGAACATGATATATTACAAAAGAGAGAAGGACTTTTAAAACCACATTTAATTTTTAATACAAACTCTGTTGCACTAGTACAGAAATGACCCCTTCATGCACAGATAAATTTAGCATCTACCACGTGGAAGAGGAAAAACTATACTGTCCCCTGCTCCCAACCCCCATACATTGGTAAATTTGAAGTAACTTATCTTTGTGCTCTCTGATGCCAGGCAAGCCTGTCTGGTCTTTCTGGATTTCCACAAGAAAGGCTGATCTGTGAAAAGTGAATACTGGAGACATTAAACTATGTCGGGCCATCTTTACCTGGGATTACTTCAAACTGTGCTTCGGCAAAGCTCTGAAAATTTCTTCTAGAAACCTGCTGTCAGTATGGAAAATAGTTCACTCTTTCACTTTCACAGCAAAAAGAGAAAATAAAACCCCAGAAGGCATTTAAGTAAATGCTTTCCAATCCCACGCACTGTATTAATTAGCTAACATTTTATACAGTACAACATAAACATTGTTGGCATGTTTATTTGTATGTAACACCACTAAGCATATAGCATCTACACTCTAAGTGTATTTACAAATTCAACAAAATATCTACATATAAAAAGCTTTACTTAAAATTAAACTTGATGCAAGTTATGAGAAACCAATTTATTGGCAAATGAAACTGAGCATTCCTTCAACCATAGGTTGCTATAGAATTTCATATGTGGAAGGAAACCATTTGATAGATATTACTTATGAAGCCAGTAGAATATATATGCTTATTTTCAAAACCACAGATGTAATCCCTTTGACTGTTGACCTTGTTAGCACTTGTCAGATTTCTCAGATTCTGCAAGGCACCCATGTAATTTGCATACACACTGTTTAATGCCGCAGAGTTTCAAAAGCTGCCACATAGGTAATGACTTAGAGAAAAATATAATCCTGTTGGTTTGCTTTAGGTGTTTTTGAAATAAGTTTTAAAAAAATTTCTACCAGGTTGACATCTTTCTTACTGAATGTGACTTGTTTTAATAGAAACCATAAGAGACCATAAAATCATCATATGCTCCAGTTGGTGATAAAACTTTTCTTTTTATACATATGGGGGAAAATGCTCCTTAAAATAAATTGTGTTCATTTTACTGTCACAGTTCCTTCTTTTACCTCAACATTGCCATCTTCATGAACTCTGCCATTTTCAAGTGACTTTTAGACAATGACAGTAATCTAGGACTCCAAGTTGACTGTACCAAATGATATAGAAGGCAGTATATTGTGGAATGCTTATCATCTGAAGGCACTGCATATGTCTTGCCCTGTGCTTTCTGGAATAATTTTTGAATTAATTGGAGTGACCTGTTTGAGATTCTCTTGGTCTGGCACAAGTGCCAAAATGCATTGCGATACACATTGTTTATGCCTAAAAATCATGGAACAGAATGGAGAGAGGATGTAAAAAGTAGAACACTGTACCAATATAATACCTTGATGATTAAGAGGTCAATGGAGTAAGAGGAGCAAAGAGCAGGTAAGAGGGTCTCAGTAAGCATCAGCAAATGTACCTGTCATAATTAACTCATTTAGCAAGTATATATTGTATATGGTTCCTAACAGTCTCCCAAAAAGACTAACGACAGCTAGACATAGAGTCACCAATTTCATGACAATGTCCACAAAGACATTGAAGTTCTAGAGAATACTACAGTAACACTCTTGACAATGAAAACGGAATTCCTACTTAGGGGTTCAGCAGAGGAGAGTACCAAACAAAGTACCAACCCATGTTTGAATAACATACACAGGTATATCCTTTAAAGGTGTAGCATTTTTCATGCAACCTATTGAACTGTATCCCAAAGCGGGTAGAAGGTGATCTGTTGATGATGTTGTATTATTTTTTTTATCAGTTCTTAGGAAATCAAGATAACCTATATTGAATGAAAAAGTATGCACTTTAAACTGCAGTTCACATTAAGATATCATTTGACTGAGTTACGTTCTTGCTTTGACAGTTCTCATCATATGAACACCCAGCAGCACATAGACTTTCTGCCTCTATGTTCATAGTATGAGAAGGCGGACAGACAAGTGCTTTTTAAGATAAACATTTGAGAAAAGCTGGATATTGGCAAAGAGCTCACAAATTAGACAAATGAATTCATGGCGTTGACAGGAGATGGTGCCTCTGAGCTTTCGTTTCCTTCAGCTGGTTCTTTTTCTTTCTTACCACTGTACTGTCCGATAAAGGAGCCATCCTCATTGAACTGGCCATTCACTCCCTCTCCATAGTCAACTAGGCTATCATCGCTATCTTCCTTTTTCACAGTCCTGTCTGAAGGTGTTCGACTGCCTTTTTTTAAAGGCTTGTGGTCTTCCGCGTCACTGGAAAAAAAAAGATAAAACATGTTCGTCAAGATGGGCACTTAGGTAAAATGCTTGGTTCTCAAAGATCAGGCATGCAAATTATGAGAAAGCATTTGGCACCCTGAGCTTCTCCAGGCCAACCTAAGTGCCAGGCGGCCTTCAATGACCGGAATGTGGTTGGAATGAAAGTTGAGTGCAGAAATGGTTTAATCATGAAGTCTTCGAAAGGTGGGTGGCTTCGCAGGGTGATGTCAATTATCAGTGACAGATTCTGACCCCTGATTTGGAAGCAACTCACAAATTGTCACAAGCATTACCAAATGAATAATTGAAAAAAGCTGCAAATCATCACTATTTTAGTAGAATTCAAAAGGGTGTAAAAGTTTATGGTAGAGAAGTTAGTATGTCAAACTGCATAATATCTCTGATTCTTTGGATATGAATGGAGAATGATTTTGGTTAAGTGTGAAATATGGATTTTTGTTTTTCTGAGCAAGAAGCAAAATCCTGCATCTCAAATCATTGTGTTATTGAGTGCAGGCCAGACTTGTAAACTTGAACCTTACCTTTCAAGAGACCTACACATTCCGTTAAAGGGATGCAGAAGAAACAAATGAAAATAGCCTAAGAAAAAAAGCAAAATCCTTATACTGATTGTATACAGTATTATTTTTGATTAGTTAATGGGTAAAGATTTATTAATTTGGAAAGAAACATAATTTAACTTCAGGGCATTACATCTGCACTATTAGTAGTGTGTCAATATACTCTGACAAGTGTGAGTGATGCCCAAATGTAAAAGCCAGTATTTCCTGCCCCTGTCTTTACCCCATCACCCCCTCCTCACCAGTGTGTTATGCAGCCGATCCATATCAGATGGTAATCTGAGGAGTGCAACTAAATAAAAACGTGTAGGACTCTATGTATTTGCTTATGTCTCTGTTAAACCCCTAAGTATAACATCTGGAAGCAGAAGAGTAATTACTATATTTCAGAGCATTCACTCAAATGGTCATATAACTAGGTATGCATGCTGACCTGGTCCTTAACAGGTAATATTTGGTTTAAAAAATAAAAAGGAAAAAAAAGCAATGACATATTTTGTATTCTTTCAAAGAACAAAAATGGGAAACATAAACATTAGTTAAAAATTTCCTAAAGATTTCATGTAAAAGAGAGGCCCCCTGAGCTGTAATAGTTCACCTAGAAACTTGTGCTAGGACTTTACTGTTCCCTTTCCTTTGAGAAATAGCTTCTTTCTAGCCAAGATACAAATATTTCATGGTATATGAATATTCTGGCCAATAATTCCTACTAGGGTCTCCAGTTTTTCACCAAGAAGAAAATTTCAACTGGAAAATAATACTGGCTTTATATGACATTGACATATGCTACTGAAAATTACCTGTGTTAGCAATACACAAGTGCTTGTCACAAACTGAATAAATGATATTATCACTGTTGTTAATAAATAACCGGGGAGGAATCACAGAATTTTGGAATGGCCTGAGTACGGGAAATGTCAGGGGACTTATCAGCCAGTCTCCAACCTGGTGTAAGAATAACTTGCAGATTTTTGGAATTTAATCATTAGCTTCTAAGCTGTGCTTGAATACTTCCTGTGAATTATTGCCCATAACTTGGTGAGAAAATTCCACTGAAGAATTTAATGATGAGCAGAAGTTTGTTACCTTGATCCCAATTATTAGTATCATTCTGCTTTAGAGAACTAATGTTCCAAGGTGTACACTCCAGGAAATTCTAGTCTATGACATTACGTTGATTCATCCATCCACCCATCTATCTATCCACCCACCACCATACATCTAATAAATGTTTATTTAGCGCCTACTCTAAGACAGGCTCAAGTCACTGGAGATATAGCAACAAACAAAATAGACTAAAACCTTCACTAAGTTTACTTTTTGGAGGGGAGAATATAGACAATCAACATATTTCAAAAATTAGTTACAGCATGTGTCAGAAAGTGATTAGTGCTATGGAAAATATAGAGCTGAGTAAAGAGAATGGAGGGTGTCAGGGGAGGGGATGGAAAGTGGACATTTAGTAGGATTTCCAGAGGGGGCCTTGTTAAGAAGTGATGTCTGATCAAAGACTTAGAAAGAGTTGAGTTAGTCAGGTAGATGGCTGGAGGGAGAGTCATTATGACAGGGGTTAAGTAGTGCAGATGCCCTGTAGCAGGGCAAGCCTGTTCTAGGAATCGTGAAGGAGCTTGGGGTGGGACCGTGGAGAGGGGGAGAAGGGGCGAGGGGGAGAGGGGGAGAGAGAGATTGAGATTAAAGTAAAGAGGTGATAGATCAGGCCATGTAAGGATCTGTCTCACTCTGAGCGAGA